TGGTATATTTGTAAATCTTGCTCTTGAAACTCTGTGTTTTTTCTTCATTTGAATGAAAAGCATTAGAAAACGCGTGCAACAAAAAGTCTATTTTAGAAAATTGCACCAAAAAATCTTTAAAATATTTTTTATCTAGAATTTTCTCAATGGAAATAACCTGGAAGATCAGAGAATTTTCAAGGAATTTTTTCACAAGATTTGAGTAAACACCCTGATATTCTCTTGCGTATGATGTGTCCGATAGCTCGGGTATATAAACTTCACACGTGGATCGTCGTGCGCGGTCGTCCGAAACCGGTGTACATACATACATACGTATAACGTATGCCTGAATACGGTCAGGTCGTGCGGATAGATATCGGATACGTGTAGCGGGACATGGGCGGTTTCGAAGAATGCGTTTCCTTCCTGCCGATACGTGATGCAGGTACACCGTAAATGGACGCGCACTCGCGCGTGATCGGAGATGCGCGATCGTCCGTACGTTTTATATAAGTAATTCCCCTCCCCCCTCCCCCCTTGGGCCCCTCCGCTAAAATGAGTCATATCGCGATTACAATTCCATTCATGTCTCGCAACAAAGCGAGAATACGGTGCGCAACTATGACGAGCAAAACTTTCGCGATGGGATGCGGGAGCGAAAGCTCACGCAACAAACATACACATACACGTGTGTTTATATCCTTAATTTTTTAATATATTTAAAATGCTCTAATATATATCGAAAAATATATTCAAAGTCATTAACGCAATTCCCGGATGAATATTCCCTGGTCGTAACCACTGATCTGTCCCTGGACCCCTAATTGATAACGGAACCGATTACCGCAGGTAAACACCTGGTGCTGGTGACGGATCCCGAGATCGTCGAGGATGCGTACGCCTTCGACAATCCTTGCTTCAAGGACGCCACGCCTACGACGGTCGGCCGTGTCACGGAGAGACCGTCGTCAACCGTACTCGGGGACACACCCGCCAAGGATTCCACGCGATGGACTACGCCTTGGACATCCCTGGGCCTCGGGTCGGCTATTCGCAACGAAAAGCGCCGAACTCTCGACGATTCCTGCGTCGGAGTAAGTCGCAGTTTCTTTTTCATTTTTTTACGATACTTTTTTGCTGATACAGGTACATGTCGCTCTCTGTTCCATGCGTGCTATCATTCAATAATCAGTAATCAATATTACTTAACGGCGATCTACTTTATTTTGTTTGTAACAAATAATTAATTTTATTTCTGAAGATGTTGATTAACAAATTATGAAAAATTTTATTATAATTATATATATATATATATTTATCAAAAACAAGCGCGATTTATTTATTTAATTAAATTTAGATTGATAAGTAAAGTTTTGTATATTCTCTATAATAAAAATCTCAGTAGCTCGGTATCTTTTAGATATATCTTAAAGAGAAAAAGAATGATCTCTTTCATGTTGAAAAATAAGGCTATATACTCTGTAATTATATATATATTATGTAACAAAATGGCATCTTATGTGGTTATTTTTAATTAGAAATTACCGGCCCAAGCGACTAACATAAGCTATTACGCCAGGTGGACAATAAATTCCGCGGTTGAATCTAAAGAAGTGTCAAACACGATAATAATGTCGTCGTTTAGTTGCGCGATCCAGCGACACGATAATTGCAGGATAAAATGACTGAAGGCGATAACGTAACGCTTATAATTCTTCATGATCTAATCTTATTTCAAAATATCCTTCTTCACGAAGGAAAGATTAAATTAAAATTAATTTTTTTTAGAATATCCACAAAATGACTAGAAAATACTGTATTATTCGATTATATTTCCTTGTAAAAATTTAAATATAACTTCCATTCATTAAAATATATATTTTTGAGAAAAAGTTTAAGAATAAAAACAAGAAGAAATACGACTTCAAAAAATAAAGATATACATATCGTCAAGAATTAACGAGATTTTATATACATATACATGTTACACGTTTGTGTTAAGATATAAGAATCAAAGAGATGCAAAAACTTACCATGAAATCTTTTAATCGCGATTTATATGCAAGCCAGATATTACGTGCATGACCCAGCCGGATGTGATAATATGTATCTTCAATTGGCATGACTTTCATAAGAATATGACGTTCTTCCTTCGTTTATTCGTTGCTCGCGTGGATGATTTAATATTCGTCATCGACAAGAGTCGTCCGGTCTTTGATTCGATCGACTCGATAATGCCGATGCGAATCGACGATTAACACGCGTGCGACACATAATACGATGGCGGTCGTGATGAGCGATCGGCGTGAGGTTTTCATCACACCTGTGTAACACAATCAACGTGTTCTTGCAGCCCAAGGCTACCAGGGTCAGCGTGGTCGGTCTGCGTAGTCGTGACTTCACCGGCCTGGGCTTCAACGTGTGCGGCAACATGAGGGAGGGTATCTTCGTCAAGGATCTGCTGCATCGCGGCCCCGCATCCGAATCCGGACGGATACATCCCGGTCAGTATCTATTATCTCGTCACTCGAAATATTTCTATTGTACGTTTCGAACTTGTATCGTTTTTAATCAGTGATATATCACTGATATCAATTGAGGATTTATCCGCGACGTGTTCACCATCTTCAATCTTTTTTCTCTTTAATTTACCTGATTTTTTTTTAAATTTTTTATTCTTATGTCTCATAAAAAGAAGCACAATCTATATCGCCTAGCAATTCGATTTTCACGCTCGATTCAGTTATCGCTGTACGCGACGACAACGTAGCTTCGAGAATTCTCCTCGCTAGCTGTATCGAGATTGAAATGTAACATATATTCTGTCGGGAAACAGCGATATCACCCATGTGAATTGAGTAAAGTAAATTATAATTTAATACCTCGAGACGACGTTGTCTCTCGATGAGTGCCAATCCGCGCGGATCTGAAAATCACCCACATACCTACATTTCGCGATGAAAGCACTGCTACCGCCGCGTTCGAGCGTTTGATAATGCGTGTCGTGAGGCGATTAAGATGGAATATTAAGGCTTCATCGTGAGTGCACTTGTCGGCATAAGTAGAGTGCGCGAATCACATCCTCGTATCGTCGTTACGGTATCGATGGCCCAGTTTGACAGAGTCAGCTCAACAAGTTCTAATCTTGAAAAACAAAGTATCGATTAAAAGAACATGTCTGTATTTGATAATAATCTTTAGAAAATTGCAGAATTTATTTTGTACGCGCGAAGCATTGCGATTGAATTCTTAATATTTTTTTTATAATAAAATCTGAAAGACTAAAGCCGACTTTTCTAAGACATTTCCAGTTGTTATCTCTTTGAAACGGATCAAAAATGCACATCAGAAATATCCAAAATGTGCGTCATGCTTTAAATAAAAATTAGTTTTGCAAAAGAACACCATCTTTGTTTCGTAATATATTCAGTAAAAAAAATTTGTTATACAGGCGATCGTATCTCCAGCGTGAAAATCAGCTTCCGCAACATGGTGTACGAGGACGCGCTGACGATTCTTAGCTACGCCTCGCCGTATGACGTGGAGCTGGAAGTGGAGAGCGGCGGTAATGGCTCGAAGCCGACAACATTGTTGAAGAAGAGTGTGGGCCCAAGCCCGACGAGGATTTGCCATCCTCTCTACAGGAGTCAATCGATCCCAGAATTGACGCAGGCCCATAAAAGCGTCGCGAAACGGCTCTTCATAGCCGATCCGAACGAATCCGTCGGCTCCAATCAATCGACGATGAACTCGACCCTCAAGTCGTCGAAATCAACGCCGGGTGGCGGACAGAGTCTCGAGAGACGTCACGACGAGACGACAAAAAACAATCATCACAAGTTTGGCATTAAGGTACTGCCAGCGTTAGACGGCACCGTGCATCGGATCGAAAATCAAAACGAGCACAACACGAACTTGGAGAGAAGGCACTCGCGCAAGATAGATGCGGAGAAGCTACTGGCTTCTTCGAACAGACAGTCCGCGACGTCGAGCGACGAACCGCTGAACGTGACCGACGAGAGGAAGCTCTGCAACGAGAGTTTTCAGCAACGTGTAGATCAGCCTGATGGCGTCGTCTCGGCTAGAATCACCACCAACCTGTCGGACAACAAAGCCGGCAGAAAAAGCGCTGACGCTGGAGGGGGGCTCAATATACCGTCGGAGGTGCCAACAGAGGTACACAACGCGGCTATGGCGGCTCGCCGAAAACGGAGAAGAAGGT